ACCCATTAGGGGACTCAACACCATTGCCAGAAATAAGTGACATGGCAGAAATAGAACTATTTGAGCAACAAATATAGACATACAATTGCCCAATTAGTCCAAGGAAAAGAGATATAGTCCGCGAAAAGACAGAAGAGAAAGAGAAAAGAAAAGCTACATACAGCGAGATACTCAAAGATCAAAATAAACAAAATGGCCATGTTAAAAGAAGGTACAAAAATTTAAATTCTATAATAAATTATCACGAAAAGTAACTAATATGTTTCAAAATCTAGTTCAAAGTGAACATAAATAATATAAAAAAGTAATAATATATTACCATGAAAAGTAAATATATTATTCAAGGTGCAAGAATTGAATATACATACATATAAGTAAAACATTACAATTTGATTCTAGAAAATAAGTGCGAATGTTAACCTTAGTGCACAAATACAATAGTCGTTTAAAGAGAGATTTGGAATTCATACTAGCCCGTACAATGAAAAATACATTGCTCGAAAAAGTAACAATTCGCAATGACTCAGAGAAATAACGGCCGTAGCCTCAAAAAATTTGATGTTTCTCATAGCATTAAGCCCTAATCATAGCAAGAAATATAGAACATTTGAAATGAGATTTATAAATTAAGTATTAAATTAGAATAAGGAGGCGTATTGTGAGATATTTCCACAAACGAAAAATATACAACCTCGTACAAAACAACGAATATGAGTGGAAACCGTGAAGTAACGCCCCAAATTAAATGGATTCATAATATCTGGATGACTTCCGTTTCCGGTTGCGTGTGAGAAGGTTGAGGTGCTGTCAGTGTGTGTATTTGAGTGGAATATTAGAGGTGTGTGGAAGAGAAAGGGGGAGAGAGAGTGAGAGAGTGAGAAGCTGAAGGTGGCGAATGCAAGGGGAGTGCAGGCAAGTGGGGTGAGAAGGGAATAGAGCGGTGAGAAGGAAGAGAAGTGATGCAGGTAGAGTGAGTTGGCAGTTTGGAAGATAGATCAGGGGCACGAGGGGAGAGGAAGGTACTAGGAAAGAGGAGTGCAGGTGTAAAAGGAGAAGAGAGATAGGGGATAGGTGTAGGTGCGGGGAAAGTCTCTAGTGACAGAGGAGCCAGTCGAGGATATAGGGAAAGTCACTAGCAGAGGAGAAAGTAACTGAGATAGGGTATAGGGAAAGTCACTAGGCATAGAGTAAAGGAGATATAGATGGAAAGAAAAGAAATAGAGGAGATAGAAAGATTAAAGAAGACGGAGAAATGGGAGAGAAGAGGGAGCACAGGGACGGCAGAGGAGGTTTTGAAAAGGAAAAGGGAGGAATTAGAGGAAGTAGGGTTGAGAAAGGAGAGAGAAGAAAAAGGGGATTTGGAGTGGGCGTTCAGGAGAAGTAAAAAGGTAATAAGGTCGCCGGAGGTTGAAAGGAGGGAGGAGGCAGGAGGGATAGGGGAGATATTGAAAGAGATGGGGAGGGAGTGGAAGGAGGAGATAATTCAGGAGATGAGAGAGATAAGAAGAGAAATTAGAGAAGAGATCAAGGAGGGAGTAAGAGGGCAGGAGGAGTTAAGGGAGGAGGTAAGGGGGCTGAAAAAGGAAATGGAGGAGAGGGAGAAAAAGTGGGAGAGAGAAAGGGAGGAATTTATGGAAAGGATTAAGGAGATGGGGAAGAAAATGGAAGAATTAGAGATAGGAAAAAAGGGGGAGAGAGAGAAAGGGGAGAAGGGAAAGGAGAGTGAGGAGATGGAAGATAGGATTAAGAGGATGGAATGGAAATGGGAGAGAAAGGAAAGAGAAGAAAAGAGAAAGAATGTGATAATAAAAGGAATTAAGGGAGGAGAAGGGGGGGTGAAAGGGGAGGTGGAGAAATTATTGAAAGAGATAGGGGTAGGGGGGCAGGTAGAGGAAGTGAGGAGAATAGGGGAGGGGAGAAGGGACGGGACAAGTATAGCTTTAGTAAGGGTGGGAGAGATGGAGGTTAAAAGGGAGATAATGGAAAAGAAAAGGAGGTTGAGAGGAAGGGAGGAGAGGATTGAAGAGGATCTAACGTGGAAAGAAAGAAGGATGATGTGGAGATTAGGAGAGTTGGCGAGAGGGGAAGAAAGAGAGGGAAGGAGGGCATGGGTAAGGTATGGGAGAATTTGGATGAGAGGTAAATGGTGGAGATGGGACGAGGTGAAAGAGGAACTAAAGGAGGAAGGAGCAGGGGATGAGAGGAGGGAAGAGAGGAGAGAGGAGGGAATAGAAGGAAAGGGGATGGAAGCAATACAGGGGACGGGAAAGGAGGGGAGGGAAAGAGTGGGGAAGGAAGGGTGAAAAAGAGAAAGAGAGAGAGGAGGGAAGTGGGAGGTAAAGGGCAAGGGAGAGGAGGGGAAGAAGGAAAGGAGGAAGGAGAAGGGGAGGAAGGATGGAAGGTGGCATTCTGGAATGTGGCGGGATTAAGAAATAAGGACGCGGACTTCTGGGAAGCGGTGGGAGAATGGGACGTAATGTTTTTTCTGGAAACATGGGTAGATGAAAAAGGGTGGGAAAGGATAAAAGGGAGGATGCCGGGAGGATATAAATGGGAGGTGCAATATGCGAGGAGGAAGAGTAAAAAAGGAAGGGCTATGGGGGGAATTATAGTGGGGGTGAGAAAAGGGGTAGGAATAGAAGGAAAGTGTAAGGCGGATAAAGAGGGAATGGTGGAGGTGGGGATAGGAAAAGGAGGGGAGAGATGGAGGTTGGTGGGAGTGTACATAAATGGGGAGATGGAGAAGAAGCTAGGGGAGATGAATGAATGGATGGAGGAGGAGGGAGACAGAGTAAGAACGATAATAGGGGGGGACTTTAATGCAAGAACGGGAAATTTAGGAGGAAGAGTGGAGATAGGAGAGGAGGAGGGAGAGGAAGGGAAGGGGAGAAAATCAAGAGATACAAAAGTAAATGGGGAAGGGAGAAGGTTGGTGAAGAAGCTGGAGGAAAAGGGGTGGGCGATAATGAATGGAGGAATAGCAGGGGATGAGGAAGGGGGGTGGACATATATGGGACCGAATGGGAAATCGGTAATAGATTACATAATAGGTAATGAGGAGGTAAGAGAGGAAATCAGGAAGTTAGAGATAGGTGAAAGGATGGACTCGGATCACATGCCGTTAATAGTGTGGTTAGAAGGGAAAGGAGGAGGAGGAGAAAGAAAAGGAAAAAAGAGGAGGAGATGGAACTGGACGGAGGAGGGGAAGGAGGAATTTAGGGAGAAGATAGGGGAAATTTGGGGGAAGCAGAGGGATGAACAAGAAGAGGAGGGTGTAGAGGGAGAGTGGGAGGAGAAGAAAAAGAAGATACAGGAAGTGTTAGATAAGGGGAATGAGAGAGAAGGAAAGGAGAAGAAAGAAAAAAAGAGAGGGTGGTTTGATAGGGAGTGTAGAAGAGAGAAGGGGGAGGTGGTAAAGGAGTTAAAAAGGTGGAGGAGGATAGGGGGGAAAGGAGAAGAATACAGGAAAAGAAAAAAGAAGTATGAGAGATTATGTAGAAAGAAGAAGGAGGAGGAGAATGAGGAGTGGACGAAGAAAGCAATGGAAGCGAGGACGGAAGGGCAGGTTTGGGAGGTGGTTAGGAGGGAAAGGGGAAAAGGAAAAGGAGGAATGGGAGAGGGGATTGAGATGGAGGAATGGAACAGATATTTTAGAGATCTATTAGGAGGGGTAGAATCGAGAGTGATAATGGGAGGAAGAAGGACGGAGAAGGAGAGAGGGGAAGATCAGATAGAAAAGGGAGAAATTAGGAGGGCGATAGGTAGGATAAAGGAAAGAAAGGCGGTGGGGGTGGACGGGATTCCGGGAGAAGTGTGGAAATTTGGAGGAGAGGGAATAGAGAAGTGGGTATGGGAGTTGTGCAATAAGATATGGAAGGGGGAGGGGTGGATAAGGGAGTGGAGTGAGGGGCTGGTGGTGCCAATCTTGAAGAGGGGTGAGGGAAAGGAGGTTTCGGAGTACAGGGGGGTAACTCTGACACCGTCTTTATACAAAGTATATGCGACGGTGTTGGCAGAGAGATTGAGGGGAGAGATAGAGGAAAAAGGGATGTTGCCACCGAATCAAACGGGGTTCAGGAAAGGGATGGGAACAGTGGACAATATTTATGTATTAAATTATTTAATAAACAGACAAATAAGTAGGAAAGGAAAGCAAATGGTTCTACTGTTTGTGGACCTGAGAGCAGCGTTTGATTCGGTGGACAGAGTGAAGTTGATGGCGGCGTTAAAGAGGGAGGGGGGTGAAGGAAGAGACGGTGAGGAGGTGCGAGGAAGTGCTAGGAGAGATAGGGTTCAGGGTTAGAATAGGGGAGGAGGTGGGGGAGAAGTTTTGGACGGGGAGGGGGGTGAGACAGGGATGCCCACTGAGCCCGCTTCTGTTTAACATGTTGATGGCGGACTTGGAGGAGGAAATGGAGAAAGGGAGATGGGGGGGTGTGAGATTAGGAGAGGGCAAGGTCTATACATTAGCGTACGCGGATGACGTGGTGCTGTTGGCAGAAGATGAGGGGGGGATGAGGTGTATGATGGAGAGGTTAGGGAGATATCTGGAGGGGAAGGGACTGGAACTGAATGAGAAGAAGTCGAAGGTGATGAGATGCAGAAGGGGGGGAGGGAGGTTAAAAAAGGCTAGTTGGTTTTGGAAGGGAAAAAAATTAGAGGAGGTAAAGGAGTACAAATATTTAGGATATGTGATTCAAAGGAATGGGGGGCAAGAGGGACAGGTAAGGGACAGAATAAAGAGAGGGGCAGCAATTATGGGACAGGTATGGGGAATAGGTAAGAGGAGATTTGGGAATAACTGGGGGAGGAGGTTGTGGCTCTTCGATGCGTTAATATGGACGGTTTTAGGATACGGGGTGGAGATATGGGGATGGGAAGAGAGAGAGGGATTGGAAAGGATACAAGAAAGGTATCTGAGATGGATGTTAGGAGTGGACTGGGGAACGCCTGGATATATGGTAAGGGAGGAATTGCAAAGGGAAAAGATAAGGACAAGGATGGGTAGAAGAGCATGGGGATATGAGAGAAGGTTAGAGGAGGGTAAGGGAGGATGGTTGGCGAGAATATGTTTGGGGGAGATTAAAGAAAGGGCAAAAAAAGGAGGGGAATTGTCAGGGTGGGAGAGAGAAAGAAGGGAATTTTTTGAGGGTAAGGGGATGGGATTAAGGGAGATAGAGGAAAGAAGGGAAAAGGGGGAGTTCAGATGGGAAGAAGTTGAGGAATGGGAAGGAAAGGAACAGAGGGAGGAGAGGGTGGGAAAAATGATAAAATCGGAATATAATAAGTGGTACAAACAGATTAAAGGGGAGGGGATTCCGGGCTATTTGAAGAAAGGGTGGGCGGAAGGTAGATGGAGGAGGATGGCAAGGTACAGACTGGGAAATGAAATGAAGGGAAATAGGTATTGGGAAAAGGAGGAGGATAGGAAGTGCAGGATATGTGGGAGAGGGTTAGAGACGTGGGAGCATGTGTGGGAGGAATGTATGGATTGGGGAAGGGAAGAGAGCTGGCAGGAAATGGTAAAGGAGATATTAGGAGAGGAGGGGGAAGGGGAAATATGGTTAAAAAGGTTAGAGGAAGCAAGAGGGAAAGGGGGGGAGAAGGAGAAGGAGGAAAAAGGAGGACAGGGAGATGAGAGAGGGTAGGAGATAAGGGGAGAGAGAGAGGGGGAGAGTGTGTGAGTGAGTGTGTGAGAGAGAGAGAGGGAGGGAGAGGACAGGAGTGGAAGAATAACGGTAACCGGAAGCGGAGGTCCAACATAGGCTAAGTAGAATGTAAGATTGCGTAGGTTAAGATAATTTAGAATAAGAAAGGTTAGGGAAAGGCGGACGTGTGTGTGTGTGTAGGTAGGGCAGAATGCGAGAAAAGATGAGAAAGGCGGCGAAAAGGAGAGGCGTGGCGAAAAATGTAATTAGATTAAGTTTTAGGTATAAGTTTAGGCTAAGGAAAAAGGAAGGAAGGAATAAAGGTTTGGGAACGCTCCTTTAAAAAAAAAGCGCCTTGTAATCCCCAATTGGGGCAGCAATAAATATATCTAATCTAATCATCATATCTGGATTCGATGAATCGGTGACTGCAGACGACATCTTCGAATTAGTGTCGAGGTTAGGCGGATGCAGAAACGAGCAGATCAAAGTTGGTGCTATTAGGAGGCTGCCCAATGGAAACAACATGGTGTGGGTGCAATGCCCAGTGGACGCGGCAATCCTGGTAGCCGAGAAGAAGAGACTGAGGATCAGGTGGACTACAGCTCGGGTGGAAATGTTACAAAAACGGCCCACCCAATGCTACAAGTGTTGGCGGAAAGGGCACATACGCAATAATTGTCCATTTAAGGAAGATTATAGCAAGGTGTGCTTTAGATGTGGCGGCAACGACCACCCTGTAAAAATATGCACAGCCGACATCAAATGCAGAGTGTGCGCAGACAAAAACCTAAGCGCCAATCATCGAGTTGGATCCAACAAATGCAGCCTGGACCAAGACGAAAGGAGAGAGAGTATACGAAAGGAAACCCAGCAAGAGCCGGATCGGAGAGTAGCGGCTCCACCTGTGTCGCAGGATGATTACAGCACTACAATGTAACTTGAACCACAGCTGGGGAGCTCAAGATATGATGTCTCAGCATGTACTTGAAAAGGGAATAGGCATCTGCCTAATATCTGAGCCCAGACACACACCGGACTCTCAGTTGTGGTTCACTAGTAACAACCGAAAGGCAGCGATACATTGGAGACCCGAACATTTAAAAAGGATCTGCACACTGATCGGCAAAGGAGAAAATTTCGTCGCAGTCAAATGCAACGATATAAACTTCATATCGTGCTATATATCGCCAAACATCGACCACGGAGAATTCCTAGAAGCCCTAGATGAGTTAGGTGAAATAGCACAACGAATAGGCTCAAACCTCGTAATTGGAGGAGACTTCAACGGAAAGTCCATCCAATGGGGCTCCTCATACACCAACAGAAGGGGAAAGCTGATAGAAGAATGGGCGGCAGAACAAGACCTAAGGCTCGTGAATATCGGCAATACTCCAACGTGCGTGAGGCAACAGGGCACCTCAGTAGTCGATCTTACGTGGACAACAGCAGACCAGATATCGAACATCTGTAACTGGAAAGTGGAAACCGATATTGAAAGTCTCTTCGACCACCGGTATATCACATTTGAGATCGGCAAAGAACCACTAACACAACGCAAAGGTAAACGCGAAAGAAAGTGGAACTTTGCGAAGATGGATGTCGAGATGCTACAGGCCTCACTAGACTGGGCATGCTCTGTCGGCATGGCAGAAGAAGAAATGACCAACACTAACGGATGGTACCGGTGGACGGAGAGAGTAATGCGAGAAGCATGTGACGCCTCAACACCTAGGTGTAAACAGGCCACGCCTAAGAAGAAAGCCTACTGGTGGAATGAGCAAATCGCACACTTAAGATCTGAGTGCAACAAGAACAGAAGAGCTTGGACCAGGAGCAAGAAGTGGAACCAGCCCGAAGAGACAGCAACAAGAGAAAGAGCGTACAAAACATCAAAAAGCGCTCTACGCAAGGAAATCAACAAAGCCAAGTCTGATGCGTGGCAGGAGCTTGTTGAAGTAGTGGATTCTGACCCATGGGGCCTGCCGTACAAAGTGGTATTGGGAAAGCTGAGAAGAGCTTCACCGGGACTCTCAGAAATACTGGAAGAAGGAGAACTCAATATTCTTCTAAATAAGTTGTTTCCGATGGGTCAAACACATGACCCAAAAGAAGAATGGAAAGACTTCCAGTGGAATGAAGAAGACCACGTAAGACTAAAAGAAGTCAGAGAGTCCATTAAAGACTGTGGTGGCAACAATGTGGCCCCAGGGCTTGACGGAATTAAGGCGATAGCTTGGAAAAACATACCCAAGCAAATGCTCGCTAGGCTGACGCAATGTTTCGACATGTGCCTGAGTGAAGGGAAGTTTCCAGAAAATTGGAAAAAAGCACGTTTGGTGCTAATACCCAAGGCACAGACAAGCGAACCTGGTCCACCTAAAGCAAGACCCATCTGCCTATTAAATGAAGTGGGCAAAATATTTGAGCGCGTGCTGGTGAGGCGTATAGCAAATTGGATGAAGGATGAACAAGACGCACAACTATCCCCCGTCCAGTACGGATTTAGAGAAAAACGATCCACTTGCGACGCGCTAATGAGAGTGAAGGAGATCATCGAGGAACGCACTGGAAATGGAGGTGTAGCAATTGCAATAGCAATTGACATAGAAAACGCGTTCAACTCGATACCATGGCCGATCATCCGGAACGCCATGAGAAGGAAGAGATTCCCAGAATACCTATGTCGAATAATAGATGAATACCTCAACAATCGTAGCATAGAGTATAAGACACAAAAAGGAGAAACGAAACAAAGACCGGTCACAGCCGGAGTCCCACAGGGTTCCGTACTGGGGCCGGTGTTATGGAACATCGGATACGACAGTGTACTCGAAGCGAACCTAGAACCGGGATGCCATCTATCATGCTACGCCGACGATACGCTGGTGATAGCAACGGCGCAAGATGTGGAAACAGCGATCACCAAGGCAAACATCCAAGTGGCCCGAGTGGTGAAGAAGATCAAAGAGCTTGGTTTAGTGGTTGCAGCGAATAAGACCGAAGCTGCAATCTTCTACAAGAAGGACAAACCGAGAAACATACCGGATATAATGGTAGAGAGAGAGGTCGTCAAAGTTGGTGGATCGCTCAAATACTTAGGCGTGATATTGGACAGCCGCCTGAACTTTAAAGACCACTTCACATATATCGAAGGTAAGGCGAGCAAGGTTCTTAGATCCCTAGGCAGACTGATGCCAAATCTTAGAGGACCGTCAGAGGCTAAGAGAAGGCTATTCGCAAATGTCATCATGTCGATACTCACATATGGTGCACCTGTATGGAGCGACGCCTTAATGGCGAACAAAAAGATTCAGCTGCCCTTCCGGCGGCTTCAAAGGACACTGGCAATCAGAGTTATAGCGGCCTACAGGACAACGTCATATGACGCAGCTACTCTACTCTCCAGGATCATGCCACTATATCTCGTAGCAGCATCAAGGAAGAGAGCATACCTCAGAATCCGGGACCTCCGAAGCTGCGAAGATTGGAGCGCCGAGGAGGAAGCGGAAATAAAGAGAAATGAAGACTTCATAACAAGGAGACAATGGGAACTGCATCTCAACAACCCAAGCAACCCAGGAACGAGGACAAGAGACGCCATAATGCCCATGTACACCAAATGGCTCGATAGGAAGAGAGGGCACCTGACATTCCACCTGTCACAGATAATGACAGGGCATGGATGTTTCAATAGCTACTTATACAGGATTGGCAAAGCGGACACACCGATCTGCGCCCATTGTAGAGATGAAGTCGATACAGCCGAACACACGGTACAGCGCTGCATGACCTGGACCGCGGAAAGGCAAGACTTGATAGACCACATAGGAGAGGATCTTCAATTCTCAACCATCATAACGAGGATGCTGGAGAAAGAAGAGTCTTGGAAGGCGATGATCCGGTTCGCTGAATCGGTCATGCGCGCCAAGGAAGAGGCGGAGAGAGAGAGGCAGAGGAGGCCTGATGGGGATGCTACCCCATCGATCCCGGGCAGCACCTAACCAGGTGCTCGGAAGCGAGGGGGTGGAGAGAGAATAATAATGCTTCTGATACCTAGTATCAGATAGCATAGATAGAAGGAGAACCCACGCACACTTGGGAAGGAGTCGTGTGAATGCACACACACACATACACACAATACACTCTATACACACACACATACTGACAAGCACGCACACGCAAACACAAACATAAAGAAACTAGCACAAATCAAACTACATACACACACACAAATCACTCACACGATCCATACGGAACTGAGGGATTACTTACTTATTTTAGGGTAGGGGGGATATCTGGGGGGGGGGTAGGACGGGTATTCTGGGGGGGGACTTATATGGGGGGAAGGACGGGGTATATGGGATGGGGGGTAGGACGGGTGTTCTGGGGATATGGTAGGGAGGTTGGGCTGGGGAAGGAGAGTGGGGGGAAGGGGGGATGGGGTGGGCGCGTCTGGGTGGGCCGTGGGGAGGGGAAACGGGTGGGAACACTCACACGCGCAATCACACACACACACGCTCACACACGCGTATACAAACTAAACAGGGAGGGAAATTAAGGGGGGAGGGTCTTCTAGGGGTTTGTTCCGTCGAGGAAGACTGCCGGAAGGAGAGCGCAAACGCGCAAGGTGGCCGGGATCATGGTAGCATGCTTAGGCGGATCCCAGATCCCGACCGACAGCCTGAGGGAATGCCCTCGGTTGACAGGCGGAGGTTTAGTGGGTAGGACTAATCGGGGCTGTTGCCCGGGTTGGGACCCCCTTGCAGTCGAGTCATCTCGGTGGCTCGAATGTACGGGGAGACCAACTCGGGCGAGGTGCCTCGATTAGGCGAGTCCCACATAACCCGGTGGGGACGGCCCCACTGGGTATGCGTAAATGCATTCCTCCGCCTTGCGCCGATCGCAAAAAAAAAAAAAAAAAAAAAAAAAAAAAAAAAAAAAAAAAGGATGGAAGAGAAGATGGAGGAGCTGCTAAAATGGGTGAAAGGAAGAGAGGAAAAGGGGAGTGAGAAGGAAGGAGACAGGGAGATTGGAAGAAAGGAGGCAGTGGAAAAAGGGAGAAGAGGATACAAAGGAGGAGACGGGGGAGGATAAGGAAGAGAAGGAAAAAGAGGAACTGCAGGTGAGAGGGGAGAGAAGGGGAGGACAAAGTAAGGCGGAGGAGAGAAGAGGAGAGTGGTGGGAGCTAGTGAAGAGGGAAGAGGTCGAGAAGCAGGGGGGAAAAAGATGACAAGGAAAAGGGAGCTAGGAAGAAAAAAGAAGAGGAAAGGGAGACGGAGGAGGAAAGGTAAAGTGGGGTGAAGGAAAGGAGATAGGAGGAAAAAAGGAGGGAGAAGGGAAAGTCAGCGGAAAGGAAGAAAGCAGAGAAGGAGAAGAAGAGAGAAGAAAAATAAAAACTTACCATTATCTTCTCCCCGGAGAACTCGATGAAAATGTAGGAGGAGATATTCTATGTGACCTGCTGCGTCGTTTTCTTTCTCACCACCAAAATAGTATCGCGACTCGATCACCTCACCCGCGATAATCACTAATTCGCGAAAAAACACTAAAATGTCCTAGTCGGAATAATACCGCTAGCACAGCGTTGGGACATTCCTCCGCGAATTTTCCAAAAATTATGAAGCATTTGTCTTCACTCGCGCATGTTAATTCATATATATGCTTGGAAAAATTTTTTCCGCATGAACTCTGCGCTAGTGATAGACAAATTTCAATTACTTTTTTCAAACTCATTATTTGAAATTTAATAGTACACTTGCGTCGAATACGTGAGTACGCGAGAGACAAAATTCAAAAAATGTAACTAGCTAACTTAACTCCGAGAGCCGTATTTATACATGTTTATGGAAATCAAAATGGGGGATTTTCAGGTAACTTTTTCGATTTATTTTATCTTTTTTATCTTTTTTCTCATAGACGTGTATTCTTACCCATGTT